CCAAAATGTCCAGTGGCGGGAGCGTCGTGGAACTCGCCAAGAGGCCGTGTACGCAAGTGAGGGTCACTTGGTACGCAAAGAAGGTCCTTCCCCCGCGTGTGGACAAGCAAGTACCCCTCTTGGATCCGGTAGTGAGAAGGAGCCGGATTAGGAGAGGAGCAATTCGCGTACTTGTCGCGAAAATCGGGGTCGGCTTGGTAGCTGCGGATGAAGCTGTTCCGCAGGTCGCCGTCAATCTCGAAGGTCGAGTAGACTGCGGTACAATGATCCGGACGCCGTGAGAGAGCATCCGCAAAACGGTTCGACTTCCCGGGAATGTGATTGGGAAAGAAGTCAACTGGTCAATGAAAGCCATCCATCGAGCGATGGTGCTGTTGACGATGTCTTGGGTCTTGTAGAAGACCAACAGATTGTTGTCCGTTACCCATCGAAATTGGCTTCGACCAAGGAGGAAGTGCCGCCACCGCTTGAGCGCATGGACGAAGGCGAGGAGCTCCTTCTTGCGTGCATCGTCAATGGAATGCACAAGAGGCACTTTCTTGCTGAAGTATTCGACCAGGTGCCAGTCCACACCATCATGTTGCTCGAGGACTGCACCAATGCCATAGCCTGACGCATCCGTAGTGACACGTGTAGGCGCGAGCGGGTCGTATATCCGCAAGACCTCCGCAGACAATAGCGCGGCTTTGAGAGCAAAGAATGATCCTCGCGCCTCCTCTCCGAAGTCAAACGGCCGATCCTCGCACTGAAACTTGTTCAAGTGGCCCGCGATCTTGGAGTAGCCTTTGATAAAGCGCTGATAGTAGCCGGTAAAACCGAGAAACGAGCGGACATCCGTGACGTTCCGAGGCTCCGACCACTCTTGGACGGCCTGAATCTTGTCCGATGGCGGACTGTTGCCCTCCGCTGTAACAAAATGGCTCAAGTATTCCAGATCTTGCCGGACAAATTCGCACTTGTCGTGGTTGGCCTTGTACTTGGCACGACGGAGCGTCTCCAACACTCGTCGAAGATGTCCAAAATGATCCTCCAATGTCCGCTTGTAGACGAGAATATCGTCTAAGTAGGCCAGCACGAACCGGTCCAACATTGCACGGAACTCATTGGTCATCGCCGCCTGGAACGTCGCCGAGGCGTTGGTGAGGCCAAAAGGTATGACCACCCACTCAAAATGCCCGTACCGCGTCTTGAACGCGGTCTTGTAGCGATCGTTCGGCTGGATCGAGATTTGATGATATCCCGATTTCAAATCCAACTTGGAAAAATACTGCGTGCCGCCCAGTCGCTCAAGAAGATCGTCGATGCGAGGAAGAGGCCCCGCATTCTTGACGGTTTGCGCGTTGAGCTTGCGGTAGTCGATACACAATTGTAGATCCTTGTTCTTCTTCCTGACGAAGAGAACTGGTGCTCCATATGGGGAGCTACTCGGGCGGATCCAGTCCTTGGCCAACAAATCATCAAGTTGTGCGCGGAGTACCTCAAGCTCCTCCTTGCTCATTCGATAGATGCAACCTTTCGGCGGCACGGCACCGGCCTCAAGAATGATCTCGTGAGAGATCGGCCGAACCGGCACCACACCGGTAGGTGACTCGAAGATGTCGGCGAACTCGTCCAGCAACCGTACCACACGGGGGTCCGAAGACAAGTCCGTGGGTGAAGAGTCGGCTACCGCAACGGTCCGTAGGAAACATATGTCGATCTCCTCGGGCTGCTCGTAAGCACAAGTCACCCGGAATGATTTGGCCGTCACCACTTGGCACCGGATCGAAGAGTGCGGTAGAGGAATCGTACACGCCACTTCCGCGCTGAAGGCGTCGCGAACGCTAAGAGTCCGCCGATGGAAATTGACCGTGTGATCCGCACTTGCAAGCCAAGGCATTCCCAGAATGATGTCGAAGTCCCTGTCGAGAATATCGAATGTCACCGGTTCGCATGCATGAGGTGCGAAGTAGACCGGTACGGCCTCGATGTAACGGTCGAGTAGTTGCTGCGTCTTTCCATCCACCAACTTGATCGCCGTCGGGTTTGCCTTTCTCCGAACTTGTGCGCCAAGGCCAGCTCTTTGCATAAAAGACTGGCTCATGAAGTTGCGAGTCGCGYCGCTATCCAGCAAAGCGCTGCAGGACGCTTGCCCAACCTGGATGCGAACATACATGAGCGGTGCATTGTTGTTATCGTACCGCTGCGTGCGAAACTCGCGGGCCACCTTGGTAACGTACGCCAGGATGTCCCCCACCGCGACTTCGTTATCCGTCGGCAAAGTTGGTGGTGTATAGAAGGAAAGGTAAGTGTGGAGATGAGCACTAAGTGTTGCGCATTGCGGTCCCGGCAAACAGCCTGTGGTTGGGAGAGGAAGCCATGCAAAGTCCTCAGACATGAGCGGGTCCAAAACCTCTATCTTGAACTCGCGCGCCGAATCCCGTGACGAACCACTTGAAGACGATATGTCGTTGTTGCCGGACGGAGAAGAAACCGCACACACTCCTTGTCCTTGAGCTTGAGTACCCAACGTTGGAACGAGTCGGGCAACATAGTCCTCAAAAGAAAGTAGAAGCGGAGGACTGTCGACTTCCGCRTGCGCCTCGGAATGAAGGCTGGTYACTCGCGAAGAAACCAGTTCCGAAGGCGTCGAGAGTGTCGTCGCGTCACTCTCKGCGGTGCTCAGTTTCCCTGTYKDCCCTTGCCTTTCAATGGGCAAACCTGCGTCTGATGAAGATCGTTGTTGCACCAAAGGCAATAGTGGAATCTCTCGCGCGCCTTATATGCGGACTCGGAGATGCCATACGGGGTCCATGGGCCTGTCTGAGCTGCTGCACCGGGCCCGGGGCTAGAAACGGTGTGTGTCTTCGGCTTGCCACGCCCTCGGCCTCTGCCGGCGCGGCCACCTTCCCGGGCGGCTGCGAATCTGTCTCCTTCACTGGCAGACGCAGCCTCGCTGGTTTGGTCTAACGGCGCTGCCGCTGCGACCACGGCCAAACCTGGTCCCTGCTCGGGCCTGACGCAGATGAACGGAGGTTCTTGGCCTCCTTGTTCGTGACGATGATCTGCGCAGCCTTGTTAAATAACTCCGCCGTCGTCGTCAAGGTGTCCTCGACACGCGTCAGGGCATTGCTCAATGTCGGACATGACCTTAAGATGAAGTAGTGGCGGATAGCCTTGAAGCCCATTTGGATGTCTGGGACTGACGTCAAGCGTTGGTACTCGGCGATCTAGTCCGTACTTGGCAGCGTGCCTTGCTCAAAGACCATGAGCTTGTCCATGGCTTTGATCTCTGGCGGCTCCACCTGGAACCGCTTGTGCCACGCCGCCTTCCGATCATCCCAAGTGATCTTGGTGTGCAAGTCGTCAGCTACCACTCCGTACTTGGACAACAGGTTGTCCAACCAAGCCTGACACGCGCCGCCTGAGCGAGAGTACAAGTAGGCGTAGTGCTTGTGTTCCTTGATGTTGTGGAGCTGCAGCGTGAGCTCGAACTTGCGAAACCATGGAATTGGATCTGTCTTGATTGAGTCGTGGAAGATCTCCCGCCCATCGAACTTAGGAGTTGTCTCGCGCGGCTCCGGACTCAAGGTGGTGGCGATAGTGCAGATCTGCTGCTGCAATTGTTGCGTCGCGGTCTGTTGTGCACCATCTTGGAGGGAGCCGACGTGCATCTCCAATGCGGTGAGGCGGTCGGCAGTATTGGAAGAGCCTGCGTCGGCGGCGACTGGTCGCTGCTCCACCCGCTGAAGGCGGTCTTGGAGCTGAGCTACCGAGTTGTCGAGACCAAGGATCTCCGCCTGTTGTGTAATGCAGGTTGCCAGGAGATCCGTGAGATGCGAGAGGAGGAGTGCTATCTTGTTTGCGTTGTCCTCCAACTGGCTGTTCTCGGCCTCGCTTCGCCATTCTGCTGCCATGGTAAGTAATGCCCGCTCTCCGGTGAATATCTTCTCACGACGCTGTGTCCTTTCTTTGTCGGCAGCCCTTGTTGCTGCCTCGTCGTGCTGGCGCTGTTGTTGCACAGCCAGCAGACGTGCCTGCTCGACATCCTCTGCCCTTTTCTTGGCTGCTGCGGCAGCGTCATCTGCCCACTTCTTTGTCTCGGTACTACAGGCTAACATGCGGGCCTGATAGGCCTCGTCTGTTTTCCCGGCCTTCTGGTCCATGACTGCTGTCTGTGAATGCAACAGCATAGACCAGACCGGTGCCTGCTGATGTGGTATCCCTTGCTGCTGACGTGGCAATGCTGGCGTGTCCTGCTGACGTGTCCTGTTGACGTAGCCTGCTGACGTGGTCTGCTGACGTACTTACGTAGCCTGCTGACGTGTCCTGCTGACGTGGTCTGCTGACGTGGCCTGCTGACGTGGCAACTTACCAATGCCATCACAAGGGGTACCCGGAGACATACAGAAACGGCAAGGCAAGAGATGGCAACAACGTAGGTGGGGAGGGGTGGGTGGGATAATCGCCCAACTCACACTTAGATAAGCCACTAATCAAACCAGAAAAGTTTGAACTTCGCAAGAAAAAAATTCGAGAAACTGAAAAATAAAAATCCCGATTTTTTGCAAGTTCAATAGGTCTCCCAATCTCCCTTGAAGTACGAAATGATCTCTGAAAACGAAAAAAATTTCGACTTTAGACTGCAACCGATTTATAGAACCAACTGACAGAATCCAAGAACTCCGAAAAAAAGTCCGACAGAAATGACAAATATTCGGATTTATTCAGATGGGAATATGCGCAGTTTGAAAAAAAATAATACGTGCAGGAGGTATTTCCCGTACCGTTTTCAGAAAAACGAATTTCAGAAAAGAAGATATTTCGAAGTTCTAAAGTACGGGAAATGCAACAGAAAATCAAAATTTTCAAGATCGTGATTTTGGGGTCTAACTAGTATGTCCTAATCGACAGAAAAGACTAACTAGCTTTTTGATCCCCGCACACGTGTCAGATCAGGTAGTCCTGATTCACGTGCAAAAGCTCCGATACCAACTGTTACATGCACAGATATGCAATGTATGCAATAAACCGAGAATCTGCAATGTGATGAAAAGGACTGAATAGACAATGCGGTTACGAGAATCTCGA